TGTGAGAGTTCTCCCTCAGGGCTAGGAGGAGAGGGCTCTACAAATTAGGCTGCAAGTCTGAGTCATTCTTAGCTACATCTGGTGGGGCAAGGTCTCAGCCCTGGGTGGAAGCACCGTGGTATTTCTGAATCCCAGGAGGCTGCTTTGTAACCCAAGCCAACTGTGTCTTTCAGACCTAGAGCTCGGATTTCTATAAGTGTGAGGTAGGTCTAAGAGACCTGGGGGGGTAGGAATGCCCATCACCCAGCATGGGTCCTGACTAAGCTCTGGTGTCCTAGATTGAGTGCTTCAGGAAGGCACTGGGCAGGAACCGAGTGAAGTCTTCTGTCTGCCTCGAGGCGTGAGTGAGAGGCAGCAAGAGTCCCTTCCCAACCCAGACCCTTCATAGAGCTTTGTCCCTGAGGCCACCCTGCACTGCCCTCTGGAACTCCCAGGTACCTGAAGTTCAGCAGCCAGCATGGGCCACATGATCCCATCACGTCAGGGTGCCTGCCCAGCAACCCCTGGATCACAGATGACATCACCTACTGGGCCATGAATGCTCCCAAGTAAGCCCCCAGTCTTTTGGTGTCTTTGTTAAAAGCTTCTGGACTGTTAACAGGGTGAATAGCCCACTCTCCCTTGCTTTCACCTCTTCCCTCCCAGCGTGGCTGCCCCGACAAAACTCCGCGTTGAACGATGGAGCTTCAGCTTCCGGGAGCTCCTGGATGACCCCGTGGGGCGTACCCACTTCATGGACTTTCTTCAGAAGGAATTCAGCGGTAAGAAGCCTACCTTCCTGCTGTAGGCACCCCCAAGGGAGGGACCCTGCCCCAGGTTTTCTCTAGCCAGCTCAGTGAGAACCCTTAACCCTGATTGCTGCCCTGTCCTTAGCCGAAAACCTCAGCTTCTGGGAGGCATGTGAGGAGCTGCGCTTTGGTGGACAGGCCCAGGTCCCTACCTTGGTGGACTCTGTGTATCAGTAAGTGTGTGGATTGGAAGCCAGTTGGTCATCACTTGGGCCCAGCGTGGGTCACACTGTAACATCGGAATCTCAGGCAGTTCCTGGCCCCTGGAGCTGCCCGCTGGATCAACATTGACAGCAGGACGATGGAGTGGACCCTGGAGGGGCTGCGCCAGCCACACCGCTATGTCCTGGATGCAGCACAGCTCCACATCTACATGCTTATGAAGAAGGTGGGCACATTCTGGTGTCCCGGCCGTCATGGTCCCTACCACATCCTAGTGTCTCAGCTATCACAGTCCCCTCCACTCTTTTTCTAGTTCTGGTTGGTTTTTTGTTGTTGTTGTTTTCTGGTCTGTTTGGCTTCATCAGGAGTGAGCACAGCCTCTGTCACTTGCTGTTCTGGTACCAGTAAACCAGTGTGGTGGTGGTATTTAGAACCCACCGTTGTCTACTGTCTCGACTGGGCTGTCCCTTCTCCGCCCCGCCTTTTGTGTACCCTCTGGTCATATGAGGGGGGGACAGATGGAATCAAAGCTCTCCTCTATGCTACTGATCAGTTTTAAGACAATTAGCCACATCTTTGGTATTTGTTCCAAGTGGTTATTGGGTGTTTTCAGTTTGTCTGAGTCAGGTCTCATTCTAAAATCTCAAACTATGTATAAATGTCCAGACTGACCTTTGACCTCTGTGGCAAGCCTCCTGCCTCAGCCTCCTGATGTTGTTTAATACCATAATAAATTCATAGAATTCTTAGGGCATGAGGGTGCAAACCTTTAATCCTGCCGTTAGGGAGTCAGAGGCAGGTGGATCTGTATGAGTTCAAGATTAGCCTGGATTACAGAATGACACTCTGTCTCAAAAAATAAATCATAGATTTCAACATATTTAATAAGTTTCAACCCACAGCAACTAACTGCCATAGTTCAGACCTGCCCTGAATTTGCAAACTTTGACTCTCAATCCTCCTGTTTTCACCCCCAAGTGCCAGGATTTCAGCCATGCACCATCACACCATTTAAAAAAAAATGTTTTCTTAAAAAAACAAGCAAAACAAAAAACAAAAAACAAAAACCCTAAACTAACAAACAACAAAAGTCAGGCATGGTGGTGCATGCCTTTAATCCCAGAACTTGAGGCAAGCAGATCTCTGTGAGTTCGAGGCCAGCCTGCTCTACAGAGAGAGTTCCAGGACAGCCAGAGCTACACAGAGAATCCCTGTCTCAAAAAACAAAAACAAAGAAAAGTGGGTCTCTGTGTGTCCCTCAACCCTGACTTATGAGTTCTCCCTCTTGGCTTGGTCATTTTAAGGGTCACATTCCATGTCTCCCCAGACGCTGGTGGCCTCCTGCTCTCTGGTGTGGTTTTTCTCTTATTTTGTTTGAGCAGGGTCTCTCCACACAGTTCTGGCAGTCCTGAAACTATGTAGACCAGGCTGGGCTTGAACTCACAATGCCTGCCTGTTTCCTGAGTGCTGGGATTAAAGGTATGCACCACTCTGCCTGGACTCTAATGAATTTTTCAAGATTTTTCTACAGAGTGCTCTGCTCTTTAGAGCATGGCTACTTTTTATTTATTATGAAGCCCAGGCTACCCATGAGTTTACACTCCTCCTCCCTTTGCTTCCCCAGTGTCTGGATTGCAGGTGTGAACCATCAGTCTTGCTCAGAGGTGTAGCTGAAATCCCACATCCTTGCCCTTCCTCTGCAGAAGGAGCACTCTGGCTCCTCCTCTCTGGCTGGAGGTGCCTGACTCATCCCTCTGTGTGAACTCGGTGTCTCTTGCCCATGTTTTGCAATCTAGTGGCTCCGCCAGATGAGTGTCAGGTCTCTCTAAGTCCTGGTTTGGGCTAGCTAATATTGGATAGTTGGCCCCCAGCACCCTATCCTACAGGGTCTATGAGCAGAAGGTTGTCCCAGCAATGTCTGACTGGATCTGGCTATGAGGCGAAGAGTCAAAGACTGGACACTGTCTCTTGCAGGACTCCTATCCCAGGTTCCTGAAGTCTGAGATCTACAAGGGCCTGCTGGAGGAAGCTGTGATTCCGCTGGAGACAAAACGCTGGTGAGCCAAGCTGGTGTCTGTCTTATGTCCACTGAGCAGGGAGGACCCTGCAGGGAGAAGATCTGTGCCCTCAGCACTTTCTTGTCCCCAGGCCATTTCCATTCTTGCGGAAGCCTCTGCAGTCCAGCCCCAGCCCTGCTCTCCAGTTTATCCCCGGGGAGCCTGCGGCAACCAGCTCCCCCACAGGTGGTGATGGGGAGTAGGTGGCTCTTGCTGCACACCTCACCTTACCATCACCTGCCTGACATCCTGTGGGGTCCCGTTCTCCTGATGGAGATATGGACATACCCCCAACACTGGTATCTGTGTAGAGGGCCCAGCCTTGCTATGAGGCCCTTTAGCCTCCACTAAGCCCTCCCCTGCCTAGAAAAGATTGATTCCTAGGGCAAGATTTCATTGGCTAGTCCTTGCCAGGACAGAACTTGTTCTAGAAGAAAGGTAAAATCAAGGTCTTCAGAGTTACTGGTATTCTGTAGTCTTCAGTTCATGACTAGGAGGCCATCCTCAACTCTAGAATGTCAAGTCAGTGACACATGAGGAGGTATCAGTCTCTGCCCATGCTATCCTAGTCAAGAGGGCTCCTCCACTGGGTAATCCTACTCCTCAGGCTGAACCCAGTGGCTTCTTAGGAGACTATGTCTGCAGGTGCCATTTTACTGCTGTACATGGCATCTTCTCCACCCGTCCTCTGATTAGATCTATAGAAAGGTAACTCCACGCTGCTGACCCAGCTGCAGGGCTGGGGCTGACTATAGGCCTCCCTGGTCTCCTAGGGCAAGTCTTTGTCAAGCTGGCAGCCCTGGCATCCAGTCCTCCTGTCCAGGCTGTCCTGTGCCACCAGCACTGGCACCCCACCCGAAAAGTAGAAATAAAGATGGCACCTCCATGAAGCTCCCAATGGGGCTGTTCTCTAGTCTCCCCTCACAACCCATTTCTAAAGAAATAAAAGCTTCAGGCCCTTGCATAGTCCAGTCTTCTGTGGGCTTAGCTTGGCTGAGCCTATGGCTTGAATGTCTGTGGCATAATGTGTGGTGGGTGCTATGTAGTAAGAGTGGCAGCCGTGCAGGCTGCACGTGACGCGTGGCGTCTGTGGTATGGATGTCATATATTGGTGTGTGTGTGTGAACTAGTATAAGAAGTAGCCACCATGGGGTAATGAGATGACTCAGTGGGTAAGGGTGCTTGCTGTTAAGCCTGGTGACTTGAGCTCAATCCCATAAATCAATGTTTTTTAAATGGTTACTGTGGACAGTGCCTGCCCAGTTCAGGAGAAGGGGAACCAAGAACGGGTGTGTGAGTGTAGCGGAAAGAAGCTGTGGGTAGACAGAATGCTGCCACCTGTCCAGTGTCCCCTGTGGTCGGTGTGCCCAGCTGCATGCAGGAGGCGTGATCCAAAGCAAGCCCTAGGACCCTAAGAAGCCATGGCAAGCTAGAAGATCATCCAGCCCCTTAATGACCATAAGCAGGTCACTGTACTCAGCAGCCACTAGGTGGACTGTGTGGAGTGAGATGTGGGGCACAATCCAGCTTGACGCTGAGAGCAGTGGGGACCCTTGGACCCCACACCTCATCCTGTGCAGTGGAGAGCCAGGCTCCTGAAATCTGGAGGTACACCCCTCTGCTGCATCTCCCTTCCTTCAGGGCCACATGTATGCTGGGTTACCTTTAATTTGCAGGGTTGAGGGACCAACTCCCTGCCTTAAAACATCACCCATCACTCTCAGCCATCACGTGACACTGCAGGCACATTGGTCCACACTCAGGGCTTCTGTGCATGTGCAGTTATGAGAACATGTTTGTTTAGGTTTGGCAAACTGCAAAGTGTTCTCAGGACTGATACTCAGGCCAAGCCCTGAAGCCCTCAGGCTCTCCTGTGCCATGGCAGCCAACGCGCACCTGACCTTCATTTCACTGCACCCCATATGGGAACCCAGAGTCTCATGACTTAGAATACCCCCTCCCTCTTTAGGAGACATTCAGACAGATTACGGGCTTGCGTTGGGCTACTGGAGTTTTCCTCCATCAGTGCAAATCATTTATTATGTTGGTTTCCATGGCGGCTGGGGTTATGGGGCTGCTTTGGCTACAGAGCTAGGGATCTGGTCTGGGCAAAGCTGCTTGGTTGCCCTTGGGCTTCAGGAGCAACAAGGCACAAGGTGAGACCTTCACCAGGTAAGCACCAGAGTAGGGAAAGGGACGTGCTCGCTGTGCCAGAGTGCAGAGACTTGTGCAGACAGCAGATCCAGTGTACTGAGGGGACGGACTGACTGACTCGGCCCGCAGTTTGTAAATCCCTTAAGTGCACCCAGAGGCCCAGTACAGGCTTCTTTCTGCCAGGTCAGATTCAGTGTCGCTCACTTTCCAGGAGACACGCTCCCTTCTGCTTTGGGGAAGCAGCTTCAGAGCCTCAGGTTCCAGCTGCAGCCCTGAGCTTCATGAGCCCTGAGGGACAGTGCAGACATGGGAAAAGCCAGGCTGGACAGAGAGGCCCTTGGGAGCAGCACACCACACAGTGGTGGCTTTTCCTATGCGAGGGTATGGAGGCAGGAAGGGATAAATGAGCCTCCTGCTGGGCTGACTTGCCCGAGCTGGCCCACGGAGTGTTACTTGACCAGACCTTTGAGGGAGGACATGGTATAGGCAGGAGGCTGCCCCCCAACAACCTTGGGTAGAACTGGTAAGGCCACGGCTCCCAGAGGGCCAGAATCACCAGGGCAAGCAGTGAGGTCAGCGTGAAGGCCGAGGGCGGACCAACTCTCCAAGAGGCTTCGTCTTCACAGTTGGAGTCTCTCCGTGTGCTCCAGCAGACACCACCTACACCTCACTCCGGTACCGCAGTCGGGAGAACCGGTCCCGGATAGCCTGGTCATTGTCTGTGCTGCCTTCGCCCAGGTGGATCACTCTACTGCCTGGGACAAGGTCTTGCACTTTGTGTTTGGTCACAGAGACTAGGCCAGGCACATCTGAGCTTGCTGGGCCCGTCAGGAGCACATAGGCAGCGTGGCGACTTGGCTCAAACAGGACCGCTGTGGGCGACAGTCAGGGCTGCTCAGGACCAGCCAAAGCAAATGAAGAGGGGAAGACCTGGACCCAGTGCCGGAGCCCATGCTCACCATCAAAGGCCACGATGTTGGCAGACACATTGGCTAGCTCCAGTAGGATGCCGGGCACGGTCGGGTGGAACATGTACAGGCTGTGCTGCATGTCGTGCAGATCCTGAAGAGAGAACAGCAAGCTGTCCCACTCACCTGTTGTACCTGGGCCACAGCCACATCTCAGCAGGCCTCTGAATTCCTGGAACCTTCCTGGGCAGCCCTCAGGTTACCTTCAGAAGGTGCTATCCAAGTAACCTTGTTCATAACTAAATCCACCAGTGTCACCCAGAAGGCTAACTCCCATTCCATGAATGCCTGCAGGCCCCTGCCTCCGGTTCATCAGCACCTGCCCTCCCTATTACAGGTCTGCTCCTACCTACAAGACCCTTCTCCAATAGCCCCAGGGTCCTTCAGGATACTTTCCCCCTTGGCCCACACCCCCCACCAAACAGGTCTGAGCTACACTCAGCAGACTTCTGGAGGCCCAGCCCTGGCAGCTTCCAGGGGCATCTGGGTCTGGTCCCTCTGGCCTCAGATCCCAACATGCGTGCGACCTCATACCATCTCATCAGCGCTCACAAGGTCATGGAGGCCCCAGAAGAAGAAGGCTGAGCGGTGGTCTGCAGTCATCAGGCTTGTGGATGGTGGGCCCCCAGGCAGGCTTGGGAGGGGCTGGCTCCACAGCATAGACCCAGTACTGAGGTCCAGAAGTAGGATCTGGGGAGGGTGGGGACATTATTGGCAAACAGCCTCAGCTTACATCGGAATGTGTAACCCAGCCATGCTAGCCACAAAGGCTGCTCTTTGAACCATCTCACCATCTTAGGGCAGCATTCTCGGGCTCAGCACTGTACGCTCATGAGCCACGGACAAGGGAGACTCTCAGTTCACAGTGAAGTCCAGCCTACCTGTCTATCAATGCTGGTTCCATTTTCAATTACTACAGCCAAGGTGTCTGGTTTGTAGTGGCCAAGGATAGGTTTTCTGGAAGGATTAAGGAAGAAGACCTCATAGAAGGTCTTGGTAGAGGGATTTGAGATGAAATTTTCATGGTGGCATGCTCCTGGACCCAGGATGAGGGGCTGGTACCCATGACCAGCAGTTTCAGCAGCCCCTCAGGGATAAAGGACAGATCCCAGTACAGGCAGAACACTGGACTTCCAGCCCCTGTCCATCATCCCTGCCAGCCAGCAGGACAGGCTGAGGCAACGCTCAAGCTCAGCAGTAACTGCACATACCTCAGAACCTGAGTTGCACTGAGGGTCCACCTGGGCACCAGGTCTTGTCCGTCCAGCAACATACAGGCCTCAGAGCTCACAAGAAGCAAGTCCTGGCCAGCTTTCCCTGGGACATTCATCAGGTGGCGAACTGCTCCAGGGCTAAACAAGGAGGGGGTGGGGGAGGTAGATTTATGTGGGATGGGCCCTTCAAGACAGGCCTGTTGGAGGTGCTTCCCTCAGGCCCCTGTAGTATAGCCCCCTGTTTCTCAGTTCCCTGGCTTGAAAGAATGAGATTCTGTTTGTGGAGCAGGGATGATCCTCCCATACGATAGTCTTCTTCACGGCCGGGGATGCAAGCCAGCAACTCAAATGTGCTGGGCAAGCATTCTATCACGGAGCCACCCAGCCGTCCCAGCTCCTTCCCTGCCTTTGTTTGCCTGTGTGTCAGACAAACCTGTGCAGTGAAAGTTCTGGTTTCTTTAAAAACCCAGTTATGTTATGTGAATATTTATTTATGTGAATATTGTTTTAATCTCAGGTGTGGGATACAGGGTTGCTTCGCAGCAGCTGATTATGATCTGCCTCACACACCAGCAGGGGCGTTATTGCCGATAGTTTAATTCTGGGGCTCTGGAGAGGGCCTGCGGCGGCGGTGGCTCCGTTGCTGCATGGACTGGGTGGCCGGTTTCTATTGCTGGATCGTGGGACATTCTGATGATGAAGATTGGACTTACCCAAAGGAACTCAGCACTCCTACTTAGCAGGAAGTAGCCTATGGCGCTATACGCCCCCTTTCCCTCTAACATTCCTTCTCTCCTACCTAGTGTTGGGGAGTTGGAAGGGACTAGGGTGGAGTAAGTGTTGGAAGGGTGGCAGATACAAGAACCCAATAAAATAGCTAAACAAATACGCCAACAAACCTGTGCAGAAGCCTCCTGTGGGCAGAGCGACTGAGTATGTTCTCCCAGTAGGGGTCTTCCTTAAAATGGCCATCTCTCCCAGTAATCCTCTCATAGAGAGCCTTCACAGAGAAGCCACAGAGGGCATTTGCTAGTCAAAACACAGAAGGACAGTGTCACCATGGGGTCCAGGTGCATCCATCAGCCCCACTTCTGGAACCATATTGTGCTACACTTGATTTATCCCTTGGGCTTCCTGACTATTGATTAAGTGTCAGCTCATGAACAGGAATGGCTGCAAGGTGGATAGTCACCAATTTCTTTGTATGCTTCTTTCTCTAGCTCCAAACCCAGTGTTCAGCCCAGCATCCCAAGAATGTGACATCCAACATACCACAGGGCAGGAGAATATACTGAGCACCCGTTCTGGTCACATGAAGGAGGGCGATACCATCTCCATCCACACCAAGGTTGCCTCTGTGGCCAATCTGGTACCCAGTGCTACCTGAATAGATGGCTCCACTGACCTGCAGAGCAAAGGGCAGTAGGGGAGAGGCAGAACCAGCTCCATGGGAAGGCAAGGGGAATTTTAGGAGCTTAGAGGAGCACTCACTGGGTCTGGGGAAAAGGTACTTCGAAGAGAGTCACCAACACAGAACGTGTGACTGTGCTGCACAGCCTGTCTGGGAGGCAAGGCGGCTGTGGGATCAAAGCTCACACCAACCACACATAGACCATGTGCATTCTGCTACTCACGGGAAGGCCAGGCAGCTGCCTGCAGAGGAAGAGCCTCCCAGTATGTTGTGTGTGTGGACCTCAGGACATAGAGCCCTGGAAGAACGACTGCTGGGTCCTCACACAAATTCTCTTTAGGAAGAAGTGGATAAGAAAGTAGAGAAGGGGCTTAGAGGTGAGTGGGCCTGGGGTACTTGAGAACTATGCTGATCACCTCCTGTCCCTCCTGGGCGAGGATCAGCAGGTCTGGAGTACCATCGCCATCGATGTCAGGCACCTGGAGCAGAGGGCTCAGGATGGAAGCGTTCCCACTAAAGCTGCTGGGATGGCTCCACAGGGTTTCTCCTAAAACCAAACACACAGTGGCTCCAAATCCCATGACAAAGGAATGGCATACCCACATGAGAGCATTCATCCGTGGGACCCTGAGGCCACTTAATACAGGAGTGTGTACAAGCAGCCCAAGATCCTTGCTGAGGAAGAACAAGCACAACCAGGCAGCCTCTTGAAAAAGCAGCTCATGCCTGTCTGTAACTTCAGCATTTGGAAGGCTTGCTGCAAGTAGAAGGCCAGCCTGGGCTACATAGTGTGACTTTGCAAAACCCTAAAAAGGCAGCAAAGCAGGGAGATGGCTCAGTGGTTAAAGCACTTGCCAGGCAAGTGTGAAGACCAGAGTTCAAATCCCCAGGAGCCCACATAAAAGTTAGGTGGGCATGACTTTCTTTCTCTGGCTCAGTCCAGCCCTCTAAGCCCTTGGGAGCCAAGGCCCTCCACAGCCCAAACAGGTATCCCTGTGACCTCACAGCAGGCAATGCTATTGTCTCTGCCAACATCCATAACAAGACGCAACTGTGGTTGCAAAGACACAGCTGCAACATGGCAGAGCAGCTGAAAGAGGTGACGTCATTGTCTTCCAAATGGTCGCACCCTCACTTGGAGGGTTCCTACCAAGTCACCAACCCCTGGGCGAGTGCCAGGGCTGACCCGTCCAATGAGAAGCATCCAGAACCCTCCCCAGGTGGCTGACCTGTGAAGAAGTTGACTGCCATGAGAGAACCAAGTCTCCCCACAAGGATGCAGGCAGAGGACACCTCGCTGTCTGGTGTCTGTGGCATGGCACACTTTACAAGGGCGACATCTGGGGCTACGGGCCTCTCCCAGAGCACACTGCCATTGGCCCCTGACACAGCAGCCACAAAGGCACAGGGAGTGGAAAAGCCTGGAGGGTAGAGGTAGCAGCCACTGGTCAGTCTCAGACTGTGTTCGGCCACCTCCTGTCTTTCTGACTCTGTGCCTCAGCCACATGACAGCCCATTTCCTCTATTATCCCCGTATCCCTGGGCCTCGTGGGGCACTGGTGGTGGCCCTAGGTAGAGTAAAGGAGCTGACAATATTATCTTGTTTCCCTCAATCCCCATCATCCATATCATATGCCCCAAATGAGAAACAAGGACAAAGAGCCCTCTTCCCATGTGGCCACTGTAGTAGACAGAACAGGAATTACCTTCATCAGCACAGGATCTGGTGAGATTATTACTGCTGTTGGTATTTTTATAAAGGAAAAGAACATCTTGAATCTTGTCCCTGTTTACGTCTCCCAAAGCCAGAAAGTCATACGTGACTGAAAAAGAAAGCCCCAAGTTATGCTCCACAGGCCATGCCTGTCACTGGAAAGATCAAGTTGAATGCTCTGACTGGCTTGTTCCCACTATGCAACTTGCCACTGTGAGGTCCCCTGCTGCCAATAAGAGCAGGATCTTCCTTACTAGACCAAGTAGCTTCTTCAGAGGCAGGCAGATCTCTGTGAGTTTGAGGCTAGCCTGATCTACACAGAAAAGTTCCAGGTCAGCAAGGGCTACAAAGAAAGATCTTGTCTCAAACAATAAGTAAGTAGGGCTGGAGAGATGGCTCAGTGGTTAAGAGCACTGACTGCTCTTCCAGAGGTCCTGAGTTCAATGCCCAGAAACCACATGGTGACTCACAACCATCTGTAATGGGATCTGATGCCCTCTTACGGTGTCTCTGAAGATAGCGACAGTGTACTCACACACATAAAATGAATAATAAATAAATTTTTTAAAAAGTAAGTAAAAAAATAATGTGAAAGAAATCTGAAAATCTGTTCAAAAGACGTTCTTCCAAGCCCAGCATGGGATTCTGACAGCCGTGCTCCACAGCCGTGCTCCACGGCTGTGCTCCAGCAGTGAGGTCTGGTACTGCCTTGCATCCTAGGACTCAGCTGATGAGCTTTAATAAAACCAAACATTGAGAAGGTGACATTGGACATTTATCATACTCAAAACTTCAAAATGGATCAGATCCTAAATAGTTAAAATTATAAAATACAGGCTAGGCAGTGGTGGCACACTCCTTTAATCCCAGCACAAGGGAAGCAGAGGCAGGAGGATCTCTGAGTTTGGGCTAGCCTGGTCTACACAGTGAATTCCAGGACAGCCAGAGCTACACGGAGAAACCTTGCCTTGAGAAACCATAAATAAATACATAAATAATTATAAATAAATTCAAAAACAAAATAGCTAGCAATGTATTAGCCTAGGTGTCAGAGTATCTATCTGCCTTACATATATGAAGCCCTGGGCTTCATATATGTAAGGCAGATAGATACTCTATATTACATTTATGTAATACCTAGCATTACATAAATGAGGCATGGTGACATAAAACAAGCAAATAAACCATAAGGAGACACCACCTCAAACCCATCAGGATGGCTACTTGGAAAGCAAAACTGGAAATAAGTGTCAGCAGATTGGAACCCTGGTGTCCTGGCATGGGAGCAACTAACCTACAATTAAACTCATTAAAAAGTCCCTTTTACAACCTGGAGAGATGGCTCAGCGGTTAAGCGCACTGACCGCTCTTCCAGACGTCTGAGTTCAATTCCCAGCAACCACATGGTGGCTCACAACTATCTGTAGTGGGATCCGATGCCCCCTTCTGGTGTGTCTGAAGAGAGTGTAGATCACATACAGAAATTAATTTTTAAAAAAGTCCCTTTATAACTATAGCAAAGTGAATAGTTTGAAATATTAAATTTCAAATGAACGAATAGATGAAATAATAAATTAATCTGTTAAAAGAGCAGGGGTCGGGGGCTGGGGCTGCAGCTTAGTCGGCAGAGTGATTCCCTAGCATGCGGGGAGTCATGGCTTCAGTGTCCCGGGTCATGCGAAGCTTCTGATTGCTGACCCTGGCTCACACACACCCCTGTAATCCTAGCAGCTGGGGTGGGAGACAGGCATTCAAGGCCAGCCCACATATACAGTATATCCAAAGCCAACCTGAGCTAAGGGAGAATGTCTCTCTAAATAAACAAACAAACAAACAAACCACTAAAAGTTAAAAGTGTTTTCAGTTGTTTCTCATAAAGGTTAATTTCATGGGCAGGAAATAAAGTGTGATTTGCTTCAGCATTTGTGTCTGGAGCACTCAAGCTGCCTGGCACAGTTCTTCACAGCTGATGGCGCCTTCTCTAATCCCTCAGCCAGGTTGAGTTTCATTGAACTGTTTCCATTAAAGCCTGCGAGCCTGCCTTTGCATACTTACCTGATCACAAGAGTGCTTCCAGTTTCCCTAAAGGCTCCTAAAATCTCCAGATGCAGAGGTAAACTCAGGAGCCACTTAGGGCTGACGGTCAAAGACCACCGGACTAGGCTATGTCACGGTATTGGCAAGGGAAGGGTCTAGAACCCCGCCCGATGAGGAGAGCAACCCCTCCTACCCCACAGGCTCACCAGTATCATTGTAGTCAAGCCTCCATGTGCCCTGAGAGGAAGGTCGGTCTGGACATGGGATGATGAAAGAAAGGACAAACACCACAAAGAGGCAGATGAACAGGGAAAGAAAAAATGCCACCGTGCGGCACCGGGACAAGCGGGAAGGTACAGGCTTGCTCTTCAAGTTGTCCTCGTTTTTCAGTAGGTTTCCTAGGTTTTCCTGTGATTTTTTGTCCTCATTCTTCAAGGGGTGTATTTCAGCTTCTAAATCCTTGTTATCCATCATGCTGAGCACATTCCAGAGCTTACCTGTGGTCACTGAAGAAAAGAAATGGAGAAGGCTGGCGGTGAGCTGCTGTACGGCAAATCACAGTCTATCCCACCCCCACTTTTACTAACAGGAAACAAATTATGAATTAGTATTATTGTACGTGTCTGAATGCAGCCTTGCCACAGCATGGAGCTCGGAGAACAACTCGGTGGAGACAGGTCTTCTCCTCTACCTTCTGTGGGTTCAGGGGAACGAACTCCCTGGGCCATTTCACCTGTTTGTCTTGAGATGATGTCTCTGTCTTAGTCAGAGTTACCACTACTGTGATGAAACACTATGGCCAAAAGCAAGATGGGGAGGCAAGGGCTTAGTTAACTTCCACATTGTAGCCCATCACTGGAGAGAGCCAGGAGCTGCTCCAGAGCTCACAGAGCAGTGGTGCTGCTTACTGGCTTGTTCCTTATGGCTTGCTCAACCTGCTTTCTTTCTTTCTTTTTGTTCCTTTTCTTGTTTGTTTAAGTTTTGTGTGTGTGTGTGTGTGAGTGTGTGCGTGTGCGTGTGTGAGACATTATTTTCTTGTGTAGTCCTGGCTGTCCTGGAACTTGCTTCCGCTCTGTAGACCAGGCTGTCCTGGAACTCAGAGATCCACTTGATTTTATCTCTTGAGTGCTGGGATTAAAGGTGCATTCGGCCTGCTTTCTTATAGAGCCCAGGACACCTGCCCAGGGATGGCAACACCCATAATGGGCTGAGCCCTCCCATATCAGTCTCTAAGAAAATGTACCAGGAGCTTGCCCAATCTTAAGGAGGCATTTCCTTAATTAAGGATCCCTCTTCTCCAACCACTCTAGTTTTTGTCCCTTTGACATAAAACTATCCTTGTCAACTTGACACACAAATGCATCACTATTAAGTCACAACATTTCCTTTCTTGTTCATCACCTCCAAATATTACACATTAATAAAAAACATACAATATAAAACATTTCACGGGCTGGAGAATTGGCTCAGCGGTTAAGAACACTGATTGCTCTTCCAGAGGTCCTGAGTTCAATTCCCAGCAACCACATGGTGGCTCACAACCATCTGTAATGGGACCTGATGCCCTCTTCTGGTGTGTCTGAGGACAGCGACAGTGTACTCATATACATAAAATAAATAAATGAATCTTTAAAAAAATTCCACAAACGTTAAAAGTCCCACAGCTTTTACAAATTCAAACACTTGAAATTCTGTCTCTTTAAAAATTACATCCCCCCCCTTTCTCTCTCTGCTCCCCCCCCCCACTTTTTTAGTATAGAATGGAGTTTATTCAGGGCATGGGGAGGGGAGTTAGTAGGGTAGTAGAGGCAGAGAGAGAAAGAAAGAGAGAAAGAGAGAGAGAGAGAGAGAGGGGAGGGGAGGGGAGGGGAGGGGAGTGGCCATGAGCACTTGGAGAGAGAGGAGGGAGAGAAGAGGATGGGGAGGGGAGGGGGTAGAGCAAGGAAACAAGAGAGAAGCAAAAGAACAGGTACCAGACTCTTTTAAAATCTAAATTCTCTGTAAAACTCCAAAAATCCCAGGCTGGAGAGATGGCTCAGCAGTTACGAGCACTGTCTGCTCTTCCAGAGGTCCTGAGTTCAAATCCCAGCAACCACATGGTGGCTCACAACCATCTGTAATGGGATTTGATTCTCTCTTCTGGTGTGTCTGGAGACAGCGACAATGTACTCATATACATAAAATAAATAAATCTTTTTTTTTTAAAGAAAGAAACACAAACACACAAACAAAATCTGGAGTGAAGGAAGATAGGTTCTGGGGGCACACCCTTGCTCCTAAATATATGACCTGAGACAATGATCTGATTTGACTGTACCCCAGTTTCCTTACTGGTAAGAGGCACATCTCCTTTAGAAGACAGTAAAAACGTTTCTTTATTTGTTCTGCAACAGGGTCTTACCTCGTCCAGGCTGGCCTCACCTCCTTGTTCTGTCTGACTCTCCTGCTAGGATGTTAGAGTTACAGAGGGTGGAGAGCTGAGCTGACTCGTGAGTGCTAGGAATCGAACCCTGGTCCTCTGGAAGAATAGCAACTGCTCTTAACAGCTGACCAACCTCTCCAGCCCCATGGCTTTTATTCTGTTTGTTTTGTTTTTTTGAGACAGGGTCTTACTATGCAACTCAGGCTGCCCTCAAGCTCACAATCTCCACTCTTAGGGGGTTTCAATCATGTGCTGTCACGTTATATCTTTCATCACGAATGAAATTGTGTACATTCTCCTGTGTACTGTGCGCTCACTTCTTGAAGGTCAGAAGAGGTATTCCTATCAAAGGTAATGAGCTGGACACAAGGAAAATCAAACACTGAGTCACGCCTAGCACCTCATTAAGCCCGGGCACCTGAGACTGGTGGGGCGGGGCAGCCGGCCGCATGGAAAGATAACCAGGGGAAAAGTCAGCAATTGCATCTGGCAAGGGTCAACAGCAGGGCCCACGGGTGAGCTGAGGGCCTGGAGAAAAGCAGAGCTTCAGCAAGCAGCACCACGAACACGGGGGAGGAACTTCTGAAATGTGTCTTTGGCAAAGCAAAGAGGACCACATGCTCCATGCCACATGCTACCATTTCAGAGTCTATCTTTAAACCTCTGGAAGCCTCACACTCCTCACAGGAAACGCCAGCCTGAGCTTGGCTGCCGTCATCACCTGTCGGAAGCCAGAGCATCTTTGGTGCTGTGTAGATAAGCTTCATACACCTAGCCAGGCCTGGTGTCTCATACCTGCACTATTGGCATTGGGAGGCTGAAGCAGGGGACTGTCCTTGTAGAAAGCCAGACTAGCTACAGAACGAGACCTCATCTCAAAAACAACAAAAAGCTTCACACATGGGACATCAGCCAGGGCACTAAGGAGTTTGAAAACACAACCCATCTGTCCTCAAGGTCCACATTTCCCAGACCTACCTGGTGGGTGGGGCACCTGAGGGTATGTTCAATAGATGATCCTGGCCAACTGCTGGGACACCTGCTCATTGGTCTTGGGGGGGTCTTTGTCTTCATAAGCCCAGGCAGACTTAAGGGGTTGTGAAGCCTTCAGTAAATGCATTTCAGGTCACCGATGACTGCAGCAGGCCCTGCCACAGCAAGCCACACTAGGGCCACCTGATGCAATGCACCATATTATCTAACAGCCCCTCAGGTGGGGTCTGAGTCGGGCTCATGATTAATGTTCTCCGGGGTCTCCGGGGCAGCCAGGTGGACAGGGACTGTGAGGGCCTTGTTTGTCCATCCCCATTGGGTACCATCAATTTAGCCATCACAGCTCACGCAATCAGAGAATGAATGCATTTCTCCTTACTCCACAGTAGGGGCTTATCTCCTTACTGCCAACCAGGATTGGTGCACAGAGGAAAAGGGGAAGGCTGTCCTTGAATCGGCACACCCAACGTGTGTCTGGAGTCGTTCTTTTTGGCAGGAATTCTCAGGACACTTTGTTGCTCTAAGTACAGACCTATATCCTCATTGGTACAGTACTATACATATATTGTGTGTGTGTGTATGTGTGCATGTGTATGTGTGCACACATGTGCACACTCGAGGCTCTGGAGACTGAACCCCCAGACCTTGTCTACCCTAGCCATAGCACTTAAATGCTAAGCTACTGCATGACCCCTCTTTTCCTCTTATTTGTTTTTTTTTTTTTTTTTTGAGTGGGTGGTAGTTTTGAGACAGGGTCTCATATGACCTGGTATCATTATACAGACCAGGCTGGCCTCAAACTTACAGAGAATCATCTGCTGTTGCTGAGTACTGGGCTAAAGGTAGGTGCCAGCCTGGTCTACAAAGTGAGTTCCAGGATAGCCATCGCTGTTACACAGAGACATCCTGTCTTGAAAAGACAAAACAAAACAAGAAAAACTACCTTAAAGATTCTCAGTAAAGTCAGTGGTGATAACGCACTTGTGTAATCCCAGTGCCTGGGAGGAGGAATCGGGAGGGTAAGGAGTTTAAGTCATCCTTACTACTAAATGAGTTTGAGGCTAGCCTAGGCTAGCTATGTGTGATCCTGACAGAACACAAATAAATAAAAATCCTCAATAAAATAAAATCCCAATCAATCAGCGTAAGCTCTAAGGAGATTAAATGTGAACATATTATGTGTATTTGTGATTTTTTTTTTCAGCTGGTTCTCACTATGTAGGCCTGGCTGTCACGGAACCCAGAGATTTGCCAGCCTCTGCCCGTCAAGTACCGGGGTTAAAGGTGCTAGATAACAGGTACTCATTACTATGCCTAGGTAAGTAACATTTTTGTTTATTTAATTTTCTTTTTCCCTTTTATTGATGCCTTTTTTATTAGGAATACATGGCTTAACAAAGAGGACAGTTAAAATAGAAAATTATAAAAATATTTTATTTTGGCAGAACCAAGCAATAGTCCCAACTACTCTGGAGGCTGAGGCAGGCAGGGGAATGCTAGAGCTCAGAACTTTGGAGCCAGCCTGCTCAACAAAGAGAGACTCTGACTCAAAGGGTTAATGTCTGGTGGAGGGGCCGCAGGTGCCATTGCCTGCCTTGAAGATTACAAAGCTTTCTGTAGAAACAGCAGGAGGCAAAGCAACAGGGGAGGAGGCTGACAGAAAGGCCTCCTGGCCACATGTAGAATTAAGAAAATCTGGCAAAAAGTCAGGACCTCCCTGTGCCTGAGATGACAGTGACTCTCCATACCACCGGTTACCCACCCAGCTCTCCCGCCATCATGCCACCGCCTTCCGCCTGTGCCCAGAACAAAGTGTTGTCCCAGACCCTGTTGCACATTGGTACTCAAAGGCTGAGCATGGAGCTGAGCCGGTAGGGTGTTTGCCTGGATGCATGAATCCCTGAGTTTGGTCCCCAGCACAGCACCACATATACTGGGCACAGTAGTATAAGCCTGTGATCCAGGGGAGGCAGAAGCAAAGGCATCACAAGTTCAAAGTCATGCTCACCTATACAGCAAGTTTAAAGCCAGGCTTTAAACTGGCCAAGCAAGACACCATCTCAGAAAGAAAAAAATCGGGGTTGTTAGAAG